TTAACGCCGATATGGAGGGTATTAAACTAGATTTGACGATTTTAGAATCGCGAATGCTTGCCGCAGTGTCTGAAAACGAGCATGAGTCGGATATTATCTCGCTAAGAGTAAAACTAGTAGATATGGAAGCCGTTGTACATAATCAAGACGAAATTATTTCCCGACTTAGCGAAGAAAATCTATCCTTTAGGTCAAGGTTATTGAACCTTGAAAAATTAGTGCATTTCATGTCCCAAGAGTACCGGAACAAATGCAGTGGAGCGATTAACCTATCTAATATTACAAAAGAACCCTCAACGCGTAACCGTAAGCAATCTATTAATTTGAATAAAAACAGTTTGAGTTCACCTCAAAATATCGATAACAATCTACCTCACGATAACCAACAATATGTTAGTCCGTCCGTAAGTAATATTGATTTTACGGCAGACGTGCCCCAGCCTAATTCTCAAACTAAACAGAAAGTAGATCTTACGGCAGACGATCGTATGGCAGACGAGTCCCAGCCTAATCCCCTAATTAAACAGAAAGTAGATCTTACGGCAGACGAGCCTCTGCCAAACCCCTTAATCGCCCAGAATAAAGAAATTAACTTACCCAAGAACGGGAATTCAAACTCGAAAACAAAATTTAACCGCGTCAGTAACGAAGATAAAAATAACAAGTACGTCAACTCTCCCAAAAGCTCTATCCCTTGCCCCTTTCTATCCCGCCGAGGATGGTGCGCTAAAGGGAACCGTTGTGATTTTCAGCATAAAGAGCCTGGTCGTGACAAACACAAAATATCCTGTCCTTTTCTACGAAGGAATGGTTTTTGTTTGAAAGGGGATCGATGTGATTATTCTCATATCGGTTTTTCTCATGGTATGGTGGCTCCCAGACCCAGGATGAACGCCACTGCTTATCCAAGTTCTTCCCTACATACCCCTATCTATCAATGTGCTCCCCCTTTTCAACCAGATACGAGACACAACACAAGGTCACCTTTTTTGTCCCATTCCCCCTGGCCTATGATTCCTCCTTTCCCCCCTCCCACTGATGAATGCTCTTACTTGGCCCCCGCTGACATACTGAACATCCACGATCATAAACTCATGACATCTCCCCCTTATCAGGAAAACCTACAAAACATAACGGTTAGAATCACAAACAGAAGTTTTAACAAATCTTATAAAATACCCTCAAGAACACACGGTAATTTAATTACTGTCTCATTTAAAACCCAAAATGAGAACAAAAGACGTTCGTGCCCAAAATATTACTCACAAACACCATGTCACTCACCCCTAAAATTGACGAAGTCTCTTGTTTTATGAAAATTCACAATCCAGACGCTGCTTGTATCACCGAAACTTGGCTCCATGGATCAATTGACGAATCGTGTCTTTATATAGATGGATATAATTTCATCTTCAAAAACCGTTCAGTGGGCTGTCATGGAGGTGTGGGTTTATATATTAAGAACTCAATATCCTTTGAATGTTTAGACCATCTACAGCATCCCTTGTTAGAGGTTCTCTGGGTACGTCTTACTCCCAAAAGATTACCCCGTGGATTTACCTGTCTTGTAATTGGCGTAATATACCACCCACCACGCGCCGATGATCATGAAATGCTCAGTTACCTTTCAATATCACTTACCACCATTGAAAGCGATTACCCAGGCTGTGGTTTAATGTTATCAGGAGACTTCAACTAATTAAAAGTTAACCGTCTACTGAACCAGTTTCAATGCAAACAAATGGTCAATGTTTCTACCAGAGCTGACAAGACTCTTGATCTAATTATCACCAACTTATACTCGTTTTACGCTAAAGACTCTGTAGAGAAACATCCTCCCTTTGGCCTCTCAGATCACAATGTGGTCATTCTAAACCATAAAATCAGATGCGATAAATCAGATAGTCGAAAGGTCGTCATAAGTAGAGACATGCGTCCCAGTAAAAAGAGCGAACTCAGAAGATACCTAACCTCCTGTAATTGGTCCATCCTAAATCATCTCGAAACCTGTGAAGAAAAACTTGAGCTTTTCACTGATCTTATTAACCTGGGTATCAATATCCTAATGCCCAAAAGAAGAATAACACTACATGTGAATGATCCCCCTTGGATCACAGCTAATTTTAAGATTCTTATAAAAAAACGCCAAGCAGCATTTTCTAACGGCAATAACGAACTGTTTAGGTATTACCGCAACCGAGTTAATCGCGAAAGAAAAAAATGTCGTGAAACGTTTTATTCGTTGAAGGTTGAACATCTAAAAAAGTCAAAGCCAAGTCGTTGGTGGAAAGAAGTAAAACAGATTGCTGGTATGACCCCCTCAACGGGAGCGGAAGATCTATATAACCAAATTTACATTGACGATATGGAGAGTGCAAATAATTAATGATGGTAATAGAACGAATAGGAGTGCTATTAATGCCATAATCATACGAGTGATTACGAAATCAACCGACCGCGTAGCGGGAGGTTGATTTGTTAATCACGAGTATGATTATGGCATTAATAAGACGGCGTAATTCGTTCTATTACTTATTACTTATTAATTACTTATCTTCTGTACTCAAACTGTTTAAGGGGGAAAAGCCCAAAAATACAATTTGTTGAAATTCAATATAATTATTAAATTTTTGTCACGACATTTCTTAGTGAAATAGTACAATTTTGAATTAAATTTATCATAATCAAATTAACATATTATTAACTTCCGGGTATTATTTCCGGTATAGTCACATGACAACATTGCTTGAATTTAATTATTCAACAGTCAACACACAATTTGGAAGCCATGTATTGCAAGTTTATAACATGTTCAAAGTGAAGTTCTTTAGTTCAGTTTAATCTGAGTCAAATATAACCGCTGGTTGTGTGTGGTTCGGTGTCTTCGGCTGGAAGAACAGGTAGGTCATTTTCATCAGAAAATATATAATTTAAAAGGTCAGAATTTTCAAAATTTGTGAATTCCTCCATTTTGAGAATTTTTACAGCAATAAAGAAAATAAAATTCAAAGTTTGTATCCTGAATGCTGATTGGCTAGTTGTAAATACTAGACTGATTTTCATTGGCTGTAGACAAGGGTGCGATTACAGCTCAGAAAAGATGCGATTAATGCTCAAATCGCACTCCTGTAAACCAATGAAATTGCAGTATTTGCCACTGATTACAGAAGATAGATAATTAAATAATTGCACTCTCTTAACCAATCAGATTGCAGTAATTTTGTCATGTATATAATAAGTCAAATAACTACACATTAACAATAAGATATAGTTGACATGATAGTATAATGCCTTCGCATTCTTTTAATTACTTAGTGAGCTCATTTAGAGCAGTTTATGCAACCTTTTCTGTGGCCTACAGCATATGTTGTGTGTTGCTCGTGATTATGTCTATTATAATACAGCATTTGCAAATTCTGAACGCTGATTGGCTAAGAGCCGTATTGACATATCTCAATGTCAACACGGAAAATGTATTTCTTTATATTTCTTTGTGCTATATTATGAAAGAATATCAATACTCGTGGAAATTGGGAAACCTCGAAATTCTGCGAAAACACTCCGCCCTCCGGGCGTCATGTTTCCACACAATTTCTCGTTTTCTCAATTTCCACTCGTGTTGATATAACTGTATATAACAGTATATTATCAACACGGAAAATGTTTTATATTTGTTAAATATAGATTAGAAGGTAAAAGCTCATCATTAGTGGTCCGACCGCATCGCCTTCAAAGTCAAATACATGTATCTCCGCTGAAATTTGTCGTACGGCAAAAAAAATTCTATCAGTTATTAGCGACAAATTTGATGCTGTCCCACCCCACGTAAGGTGGTATTGTCACATGGCATTGTTTACCAGATCATGCCCGAATTTCGAACAGTACTAGTTTGAAGTATTATGAAAAATAGCCGAAATTGAGAGAGATTTTGGTTCTATTTGTCGCTAAATTTGCACGAGCTATGATCAAACCATATTCTTTAGAAAGAGAAACCTTTGTGAAAAGGACTGATCGAATTTTTTTGCCGTACGAAACGTTTGAGCCGAGATATTTGACTTTGAAGGCGATGCGGTCGGAGCACTAGTGATGAGCTTTTACGTTAAATATTCACGAGCAACACACAACATATAAGCCACAGAAAAGGTTGCATAAACCGCTCTAAATGAGCTCATTAAGTGATTAAAAGAATGCAGAGGCATTATACTATCATGTCAACTATATCTTATTCTTAAAGTGCAGTTATTTGACTAATTTAATAACTCTTTTTAGAATAGTTTTGGTTGAGTATAAAATTTATAAAAACCGTTAAACCCGCAACTCCTTATCATTCACCCTGAAATTGGGCCGCCTGTGATTTAACTTTCCGCAGGCATTAACTTAACTTTCCGCAGGCATAAAGTTAATTTGCTGCAGCAAAAATTTCAGAACCGCAAGAGATTTTAACTTTCTCTTTCAAGAGATTTTAAACTTTCTTAAACGAAAAAAGGGAAAGAAGCTTATTTAAAAGAAAACCATACATGGCCCTCTGTAGAAACACTATCAATACCAAACAAGAAATCCCACGGCTTAAACTCGTGTCCCACCAAAATTTTAAAATGTGCAAGGAGTTTTTCATCAGTAAACCAATAGCTGAAATTATCAATTTTTCTATCCAAAGCGGTGTTTCTCCTTCCATTTTAATGCTAATTCCTGTTTTTAAAACAAGTGATGTGCCAGAAAGCGACAACTACAGACCGATTTCATTGTTATCTAACCTTAAATAACATTTTTGAAAAAGTCGTTTATAAACGATTTATAAATTTTATCAAAAATAAAAATATTTCGCACCATTCACAATATGGTTTTAGACAACATTATTCAACACAACACGCAATTCTTGATATAGTCTATAAGATGGAAGCAAACATTGACAAAAAAGAATTACTTGTGGTATATTTATTGATATAAGCGTTTGATACAGTTGATCGTAGGCAATCTTATTACGTAAACTTCAATACTGTGGATTTAGAGGTATAATCCATGATTGGCTTTAATCATATCTGACAAATCGCTTTCAAACAACACAAATTGAATCTAATATTTCAACAAAGGAGAAAACACTTTGTGGAGTACCGCAAGGATGAGTACTTGGTCCTTTGCTTTCTCTATAATCTATATAAACGATATTCACCGTTCCTCAGATAGATTTAATAATACTTTAAACTGTGGCCGAAGTGTCGCCCCACAGACTCGCTATTACAGCAATATGATTATCATGTAAACATATGTCCTCAGAGGGTCGTGATTCTCCCATTTTGGACTTTACCCAAGGAGTAGTAACGCCCCAAGATGGGCATCCTAAATGTCCGAGGGGTAGTGGATCCCCGTGATGGTTATTCTTTACGTTACAATACACTGTGTTATAATACATTGATTTGTGTGAGTCTATGGGGTTGAGGGTGACCTTTGGGAGCACTCCATCCCCAACAACCAAATATTTTTATTTTTACAACCAGACTTGCAAAATCAATTCCAATACTGTATATTACAAAATGTAGACGTGCCTGTAATAACTTAACTACTCCATAATACTATATTTATAACACTACATGAATTGCAGTCCATGCGAATCTTGATGACGGATTGCATAACAAAACAATATTTACAAATTTTTATTGATTTATTTATTTTTTGATATTACTGATGATAAAGTGGTGCAAAATCGTTGAAGAGTGGGATGGGTGATAATTTCCGAAAGTATTTTGCCGCAGAGGTGGCTTACTGATCCAAGCAGGAAACTATGCAGACAAAATGGTGAAACCTGATTGATCTATCTTCCCGCA